CATCTCTATCAGGCCTCGAATGGCTCACAAGCTCGAACTCTTGAGACACTGTACAGTTAAATGTTATCAAGTGTTCTGTAATTGTTAGAAAAAGGCAAAATATGTTGCGAGATTAGGTTTTGTTGAGCATGGTGAAATATATTTAATAATAAATAAAAGTTCTTCAAAAGTAATTTGTATTCTGTTTAAAAGATCAAGAGACCTCATATTTTAACAGGTTATGGGCCCAGGTCATCGTTTGGTAAAAAGGGTGTGTTCCCAAGTCAGTTGGACTGTTCCAAAAAGTGACTAGCAGAAATGGCAGATAAGACTGTTGATATCGCGACAGTAAACAAGTTTGATGGCTCTAATTTCCAACAATGGAAATTCCAGTTGAAGTGTGCTCTCCGAACCAAAGGTCTCTATGGGATCAAAGCTCAGAACCTATTGCTAACCCAAACTAACCCAAGCAATACCTATAAAATGTTATTTCGTACTGTATTAAACAGTGCTAATATTATAGTTCAAGACTCTTTGAAGTTATGGCATGATTATAATAACTATTTCCTAGAAATGGTTAAGAAGGGACTAGTAAATGGTGTTAATAATAATAACACTGAAAATTTACAGAGCCTGCTTGTTAAGTAAGCAACAAAAATTATCTGTTAAGCCAAGATCAAGTCCTCGTGTGAAGCTAGAGGTTGGCGAATGAATTTTTACTGATGTCTGTGGACCTATGTCAACACCATCTTGTTCAGGGACTACAGGGTGCAAGATGTTTTGTTACATTCAAAGACAAACAGTCAGGATATGGAGTTGCATATTTCATACAACATAAATCAGAAGTTTTTGACTGTTTCAGAACATTTAACACTAAGATAAAGACAAAATTTGGTCATCCAGTGTATAACAGGTATAACAGGGTATATGAATAAACAATGTTTTTTAGGCATCAAATATGAATATATTCTCCTGAAAAAAATGGTAAGGCAGAACAGGACAACAGAACAATAATTAAATCTGCACGTTCCATGTTGTATCATTCATGGGTACCAAAGTTTTTTTGGGTAGAAGCAGTCAACTCTTCTATCTACATACTAAACCGAGCACCAATTAAACAAGCACCTAATTCAATGCCATATGAAATGTGGAGTGGACAGAAACCATCCTTAGAACATATCAAGATTTTTAGATGCACTGCATATGCGCATATTCCCAATGTTAAAAGAAAGAAATTAGATCCAAAAAGTCAGAAGTTTATATTTGTTGGTTATGACAATAATTCGACAAATTATCGATTATTCAATCTTGATACACAGAAAACTACTGTTTCCAGAAATGTATTTTTTCATGGAAAGATGGAAAATAACTTGTTAAAATCAAGAAATACAGTAGGTACCAATTGAATTGCACAAAGATGATGCATAAATGGATAATTTAGAACCTGAAGTCTAGGAGAATAAAAATAATGATATCCAAGTTGAAGAAGACCGAATCGAAGATATACGAAGACATATGCCCAATTCAAGACCACAAAGAATAATACGCTTACCATATGAAGATATTACGAATTAAACGAGTTAAATTTTACTGAAATCAACGTTCCAACAACATCTGAAGAAGCTGTATATTGTATTGAGAAAGAAGAATGGAAAAAAGCAATATTCGAAGAGTTTGAAGCACTCCAGAAAAATTCAACATGGAAAATGACAACTTCCTAAAGTGTTACGTGGGTTTTTGCATTAACAGTAACGGGTCGGGTGAAATTCCAAAACTATAAATTGAGAACCTAAAAACACTTAACTTGTAGACAAATGCCGGACTAGCTTATTCAGCGTAGAGTGGTCGTGAGTTAATATTATAAAAAGCGCCACCCGCATTAGAAGCCCTTTAGTAAGATAAGTGTCTGCTGAAAAAAATAAAACGGGAAAGATCTAGCCTTCTCCAGAAATGAAACTTCAAATGTTCAACGACTTGAGACAAAGCCACTACACTTATTAATAATTACCATTATTACCAATTAAATTACTGCCTTCTGTCAATATCAATAGAAAACAGAGTAGTTCTGGAACAATATTTTATAGGTACTTGACTTGGGTTTAACCCAGAAAACAATTAAATTATCATATATATATGATTAATTCAAATTAATTAAGTTTACAAAACAAAATCAACTGGAAATGCAAAAACCCACGTAGCAAAAATTGGCGCCCAACGTGGGGCCCAAGAGGATACCTCAGAGGAAGGAGATACGTCTAAGACCTTCCCGCATTCGAGTTTTTTGAGCATTTTGGACACGTTTTCGAAGTACCGTTTGGATGACCACACAAGAAGCAAAATACAGTACGAGGTGCTGGCACTGCCTAAATCGATGACCATTGGTGCGATAATTCCAACAAAATACAGGTTTGCTAAAAACCACATTAGAAGCAAGCTGAGGCGACCTGAGGCCAAGTCAGGTTCAACCAATTGTCGATGAGAGGTTGAAGGAGGTATAAACCTCTGAATTCGTGTTTCAGTCTCCTCAATAGCACGACTGAGACGAGTTAATTCATGAAGGGAAGATATTTGGTGAAGAGATAGTCGGCTTTGAATATATGGTAGAAGATTTCGTCGAATCACCTCTGAGCCTCAGACGGCACAAAAGGCAAAATATCAATCGACTCAAAATGGGTCTTCAAAGTAAAAAGACTTCCAGATGGTAAAGTTTCTCGTTATAAAGCTCGACTCTGTGCCAGGGGATTTGCACAAAAAGAGGGTATTGATTACAATGAGGTTTTTGCCCCTACTACAAGATATGATTCAATTAGAGTATTTCTAGGTATCTACATGATACCTTCTCTTGGATAAGAAGGTAAAACAAACCTATTTAGTGTGCAAACTTGAAAAATCATTATATGGCCTTAAACAGTCTCCCAGATGTTGGAATAAGAAATTTAGTTCGGTTCTGGCCAATTTTGGTTTCATCCAATCAACTGCTGATAAATGTCTGTATCTCGGAGGAATGTGTGTATAAAGGTTATGTAAAGGATGTCAAAGTGATTTTTTTAGATTTTAATACATATTATATGTCGCGGATGGACTATTTTTTGCAATGGAAGGAAAACAATAAAAATCCTTTTGTGTGAACTCAAACGATTTTTTGAAGTCACAGGAACAGATGGAAGTTATTTTGTCAATCTTGAGATAACCAGAGAATATGAGAATGGAACAATGTTTTTAAGTCAAAGAAATTATATAAAACAGATTATTGAACGCTTTGGTCAAAATGATGCCACACCAGTGAGTATTCCAGGCATACACACAGATTTGAGAAATCCTACAGAAGATTTTCTTCAAGATGAGTTAGCTTATCGACAAGCTGTGGGATCACTTATATATTTTTACCAGCAGTTTCTCGACCAGATATTTCACATGTGGTGGGAGTTGTCAGCAGGTATTTGAATAAATTCACATATGCACACTGGAATGCTGTACAACGAATTATCAGATATTTAACTGGAACTGAAAACTATGGAATCCAATATAACAAGTTTGAAGATGGTCAATTGTGTGGCTATACTGATTCTGATTATGCAAATGATAAGGAAACACGTCGTTCCACAACTGGCTACGTTTTTAAGTTATGTGGGTGAGTCTGTCACATGGTCTAGCAGACGTCAACCAGTAGCATCATTATCGACAACCGAAGCAGAATTTATTAAAGCTACACAAGCTACAGAAGAAGCAATTTGGCTCCAGAAATTCGTACTGAACTTAGAAGATATGTGACAACCAACTACATTATTTATTGATAATTAATCAGGGTGCAATTAAACTGATCAAGAATCTATAGTTTAACCAAAGAACGGAACACATTGACATAGAATACAACTTTCTACGGAAACATTATGGACAAGAGATAAAGCCAGAATATGTGAACACTCAAGATCAGCAAGCAGATATTTTTAACAAGTCACTAACAAAGAGAAGATTTGAAGACATGAGGGAAAGACTCGATAAAGTATGTTCAAAATAACCATAAAACAACATACCAAAAGGTGGGAGTGTTAGAAATAGTTTTGTAATGTTGATTTTGAATGACACCTTCCAAAAATCCTAACCTCAAAAAACATCATTTGGATTTTTCAATTTTATTCTCAAATTCACAAATTTCCATTTTTCTGGCTTCGTGCTGTTGAAGATGTCTGCCACATTCCACATTTATTTCAAAGGCAAAACAATCAACAAACAATAGAAAAGCTGGGTTAGGAAAAACAGCTGACGGCTGCCAATCCTATTACCACGCAATTTATTAGGGTCAATGAGATTCAAGAGTGAACTGATCCTAGATCCCTTTCTGTACGTCGAGATCGGTGATCTTTGCGATCGGGTTAACCCGATCATAGTTTCCGTAAGCAGCTATTAACACAACCAAAAAAACATTGAGATGCCAGACAAAACGAGTATATTGATTGATCGACAAGGTAGAAATGAAACAGGTCTTGGTAGCTCAGTTGGTAGAGCGTTACACTGGAAAGGTAGGGGTCCTGGGTTCAAATCCCAGTCGAGACAAGAAAATTTTTCATCAACTTTTAATTAATACGTCTGCATGCCACTTGAATTAACACTCTATAAAACGAGTATATATTCCAAATTTCGAGTAAGTCGGGCGCATAGTAGTTTTAGAGATCTCGTAAGGAGCCAATGAGTCAGTAAGTGAGTCTCTAATATACATAGACTATGGTTCATTCAACCAAGAAGAATATTGGAACTCTTCTAAGCAAACTGTTATCAAACTAAGACAGTCACTTAAATACTGAGTTGAGAGATGACTTTCTGCGTATGGCTAAATTCAGCTGGTAGGCACCGTGGTGGAATGGTAGAAAAAACAGTGTTGTTAAATATAACAGGGTTTGGCATTAGCATGCATTAGTGAATCGATAAATCACCGCACCCGTGGCATTGCAACATTTTGGTGAATTATTTAGCCACACACAAAATATCCGTAACGCAAAAATAAAAGTAGCCAAATTCCTTACCTCTTAAAATCTCGACGCTTCCATCTCTCATCATCAAATTGACATTGACACCGGGATTGACGTGAAAATTCACCACGTACTCCTCCCGTTTCCGACCGTGAATCGGCCTACTTTGTTGCTCGTAATACCCCGCTCGTTGAGGTTCGAAACCGGGTCCGAAATAGAATTTCGCCGGCGCTTGATTGGTCGTACCGTTCGAGGTCACACCCCCACTTCTAGACGACGCACACCCGTCGCTTTTGGCCACGCCCCCGTTGCACATTTCCGGGCATTGCGGCGGAGGAAAAGGGCAATGGTGATGGTGAATGAAATAGTGAATTGGAGGGCTGTGAACGTTGTGGACGTGAATTAAATTGACGCCACTGAAAGGATCCGGAAATGGAAGAGGGTGATGGAGATGAGTAGAGTCGCGTTTATTGAAATGGCGTGATTTACGAGAAAAAGGGCGCGACGGGACGTAAGTTGTTAGTGCGGTTAATGAAGAGGTTGAAGGTGAAGGAGAAGTAGTGGGATTGGAGGTATCAGCCATGTGCGCGGGGAAATCTACTTCCTCGAAAAATTTCACCATTTATGTTTTTCCTGATAATCTGAAACAAAAATTATTACGAATTATTATCCGGAGCTGTTACAGCCTGTTGCTAGGGGGAGAAAATATCAAGTTGTTTAACGAGTCGCGACGTCGAGGTCGTCTCCCTAAAGGATGGTGGCGTCGCAGCTTCCCCCGGACTCCGGAGAGGGTTAACTTGTATTCAGTTGTCGGGCGGCGTATAAGGGGGGACAAAATGGATATTAATAGAATATTTGTGGGATTATAGATTCCAAATAGAAAGTTCGACAAAATCGAAAAATGGAGAAATTTTTGGCAACAATATTTTATAGTACCTACCTAGTCTTAAGTGCCAGTGAGTGACAATGGTACTAAGATTATGCTCTTACGTAATTACTTACATAGAAAACAATTTTCTTCCTTTTGAAGAAATTTTCACCGTTTTACGTAAAAAAAAAACGGTAATTTGATCGACGTCAACAGCACATTCTTCGACCACATATTTCGAGTTTTGCGGAAAATACGCAAATCTGCAAGGCTCGATTCGGGTCAATAGCACGGCCGTACCGGCACCATTCCATGTCATCGCCAGTTACCTGATGGCGCTCCCATCTTTGCAGACACTTATGGTGGGTTTTCTTTTTCTTTTCGTTATCTTATAACTGGTAGAAAAGTTGTCCCATCAAAATTTTATTCCAGCGGGATTTACACAGAAAGGAATAATTAAATATTCAATGAACCTCTTTGGTTTCCATTCTAAGCAATACTTGACGTATTACATATTGTAAAAAAGTAGGAACTTCCAGAATCAGTAATTAATCAAAACATACAATGAATTTGTTTATAGTCGCAACTGGGCAAAAAACTATTTCCTAAAAACAATAAATAGTCCATTTCGCCAAACGTTAATTGAGCATATAAACTCTTTGAGTCCCCGTCCTTGAGTTTTACGCGAAAAGATGTCTATTTTTAGATGGCGGACTACGATTGAATATTGAATACTCAGAATTTCTATGCTTAACTTCTGGTTTTCTCGCCAGTGCGGTACATAACCTGTTATTTGTTTTTCGTTTGCTAATGTTGAAATTTTAAAAATAAGTCAAAGCAAAATTTACCAAAAATAATCAAGAAGCATGTGGTTTTGATTTTTTTTGCACCGCACAAAATTACAGATGACTTAACTAGGAAAGGAGACGCAGGTTAACTCCAAAGTTAACAAAACCGATGTTGCAAAATAACAAGGAACAACGGATTATTGATAGAGATGACTATAAATGTTAAGAATGTTCTAATAAAAAGATATATCACCAAGACAACTTTGGCACGTTACAATTGCTTCAACTTTCCTCTAGCAGGTATAGTTTTCTGTTTTGCCACCTACGGCCTACCTTGCTAAAGAGTTGAAGAAGCTGTGAAGGTCGCAAAAAAAGAAGAAAACCAAACGACCAAACGATGGGCATTATAAGAACAGGTTTCTAGTCGGGCGGTCGCAAAAATCAGGTGGTGCCAACGCACCCGGATCAGGCCTAGGTGCATATACATCTTGGTTGGGTGCATAATAACAAGGATGGGTGGAGATTGTTGTTCTGTACGATGTTCGCATTGGTTTTATTTTAAAATCGAAGAAAAAACTTCTAGGAGATTTTATAGCAAATTACATCTCTGGTTAGCTTGGCATGTGTATCTGAAAACAGATGCAAGTTTTCATTCAGGAATGCTCCTATGAAAAGTATTTCAACCAACAATAATTGTTCATATTTCAAAATACCAAACTAAGTTTTTCCTCGCCCAACAGCCATTTACGTCTACGATAATATCGACTATAGTTAATCCATTAGAACGGAGGGAATGTAACCCAGGGCTCTTTCGTCATGTTTTATCGGGTCCCAGTCAAGCAATAAAGTGCAGTTATGGTTTTTCTAGTGCAACCCAGTCGCCACTATCTCGTTTTGATTTAATAACATTTTTTTTTTCTTGCTGCTTACTTTGGACCGCAGATATTTTACCACAATAGCTGTCAGATATTTCATTTTAAATTGTCAGCCTTGTGCGACATAACAGAAATTGTTTTTAAGTTTAACAATTATTATTGTGTAGAGCTGTAGGAGGTTTGGCTCGTCATATACCTAAACTTGAGAGTATGTTAAATTTTAAGCAAGTTTGAGGCTTATAGTAATGATTGCTAACCAACCACAACATGAGGACATTGAAATTCAATACTCCCAAGCTCGAACCTCACTAACCGCAAAAATACAACATTTCTTCATGGTCTTCTTCATCTTTTCATAACTAATTTGTGAGCCACAAATCAATATCTAAATATAACTTAATCATCTGTCTTTATCACCTATTTTAGAGCTCCAGGTAATGTTTAGCGGCCTTCATTCAAAGTTGAAGTAACTATCAAGTAAATCCTATTTCAGTTTTCTCGAAAAATAAAATTCCGATATTTGACTGAAAGTCTTGAGGAGTAATTTGAAGCTGAAGTGCTTGGCAAACTTCACATTATTGATAATTTGACGCGCTGCATTGATGTGGCTACCTCAATATTGGGTCTTTCGACTCGAGAAGCGAAAGGGCATGATGAAAAGATGAAGTTAATAACGATGGAGCGAAGGCACGTTTTCGTGTCTCTCAACTTTGGTAATGTATTTCGTCTACTAACTTTCACGTAAGGGTAATTGGTATTCGGTTTGCGAGATACTTTTAATCTACTCTTCGGATTAATACTAGTAAGTTATTTAGTCAAGGAAAAATTAACAAACCTTCCGCAAAAAAATCAATTTCAATATTTAATAAACCGAAACAATGCATTTATTGTGCCGACTAGGTACTCGGAAATCGAAAATTTAAATTTTTGTTTCGCAACACAAATATAAATTCATGCGATCAATTTGAATTTTGCAATGTTTTAACGGGAAACCAATTTACCGAGAAATCATTGATGTTGGTGGCGCGTGTTTCGCATTTTGAAGGAAAGTTGAGAACTATTTTCGTTTCAATTGTTCAATAGCTAAAAAATTTACAAAGTATACTTTTTGAAACACTCAATAGGTAGGTATACCTACATATTTCAATAGTACTTGATAAACGATAGTATAAAGGGTTTATCAAATAATAAAACGAAACCCCTGCACTCTAAGGTTTAAAAATTTAAAAAATTAGGATCTTGCCTGTTAGATCATTTTACAATGCCGATGAAACTGGTTTTCTCTTAAAAAGTAAGCAATGGAAGCCTTACTTCTTTCAGGAAAAGTAGCGTCTCATGCGGATAAAAACTAGCTGAATAATGACTTGATGTTTTCTTTACCTAATGGCGCAACCCTCAGCGCAACCAATGGATGATTATAACCAGCCTTCAAGAAGCATTGCCGATAATCTAAATATAATGGGTAGGATCCATTCATTGTACATTTTAGAATGAAATTTCAATAAGACTTTCGAACTCTAGATGTTCTTCAGTTTTCCATAAGCTCTCCATTCCAGTCTTAAATTTCGTTTATTTCTAATTCTGTTATTTGCTTTTATCTTATAAAGTCGTCTAGAATGATTTGACTGCTTGCAGACATTAAGAAGTCATCCACATAATTGGAGCTGTTAAGGTTTTCCTCTTGGATGTTTGGTTTTTTGTTCTTCCAATTCAGACTCTCAAGCTTCAAGATGAAAGCTTCGGCAAGGGCAAGATAAAATTGTCCTTCGTGTCATACTTCTTCTGCTATAGTTTTACGTTCCCAGTATTGATCATTTTACTAAACATTTATTGCGCGTTTGCGGGGTCCTGCGTTTGTTTCCGAGAGTAAGTATCTGATCTTTGCCAGAGAGTTTGGTGTTTTTGACTTGTTTAATTGAGTTCTCTACAATTTAAGTTCGATGTCTTGTAATCACAGTTAAAATTTTTCATGGTATTTCCAGATGTTTCATCTTCTTTTCTATGTTCTTTGCTAATCTTTCCTCTGTATAGGTTTGCACAGACTGACCCAGTTTATTTTAATATTGTGGCGCCCTCGCCAGCGTGTACAGAATCAAATCTGAAATCTAGAATTTACTGCCTTTCTCAGGAAAAGAGATTATGGCGTTTGTTCTGGATTTAACAAGAATGGAATACGGATATATAAAGGCCGGTATTAGTTAGTAGTTTTTAGGTTTAAGATTGGCTGTGATACGTTTTAGATAGTGATTATTTTAAGAGATGTAAAGCAATAAGTTGTTTGAGTTAATTCGTGAAGTAATTAGTGTCAGAGTGTGTAGTGACGTGGAATAAATGATTGTTGTGTTAATTGGACTTTGATTTTGGAATAAACTCTAGTAAGAGCCAATCGAGACATTATGATAAGAATTGCCAATGTTTCTTCTGAAACATAAAAAATAAAGGAAGGAGATATGATGGGAACTCTCGAACTAGTTAAACAAATATCGAACTGTGACCTACCAGATAAGCCAAAGATTTCATCTTGAAAGAAGCAGAAGCAGACATATTTGGACCGGACGGACCAGTTTAATTCAACACGAAATTGATACTGGATTGGCACACCCAATTAGACAACCACTTCGATGTATGCCAGTAGCTAAACAACAGGAAGTGGAAAACCAAATTGATAAAATGCTTCAAGAGGGAATTATTGAAGAGTCAAATAATGCGTGGTCTGCCCCAGTAGTATTGGTTCCAAAGAAAGATGGAAGTCTTAGATTTTGTGTGGACTACCGTTAGCTTAATGACGTCACCAAGAAGGACAGCTTCCCTCTCCCGAGGATAGACGATACATTAACAACTCTATCGGGCTCCAAATAGTTTTCCACCTTGGATTTCAAAAGTGGATACTGGCAAGTGGCAATACACGAAGATGACAAACAGAAAACTGCCTTCCGTACCGGAAGCGGGCTATACCAGTTTAACGTAATACCTTTCGGATTGTGTAATGCTCCCGATACGTTTGAGCGACAGATGCATCTAGTTTTGCGAGGCCTCACATGGAGAAATTGTCTGGTATCCCGATAAGTGTTTTCTATTTCAAAAGAAAGTGGAATTCTTAGATCACGTGGTATCTGAAAATGGCGTACAAGTTAATTAAAACCTCGATTAAAACAGATGCTGTCAGGGATTGGCCAAAACCACGCGACAAACATGAACTAAGGATTTTTCTAGGATTATGTTCTTATTATCGAAGATTTGTGGAAGGATTCGCCAATATAGCTGCTCCTACATTATGTGCGAGCCCAGTGTTGTCCTATTCCGATCAGAAAAGCATGTTGTGATATCATGGGCATTCATAAGACAAGGACAACACCTTTACACCCACAGTCTGATGGCACGGTAGAACGAATTAATAAGACCATAGAGAAACACCTGACAAAAGTGGTCGCAAAAAACTTAGGACAAACATTTGCCTTTATTTTTTATGGCTTACAGAGCAGCTGTTAACGAGTCAATAGGTCAAAGTCCAGCTGGAATCGTTTTTGGGAGGGAACTCAGGTTACATTGCGATCTGATATTTGGAATACCTGAAGAAGAACGAAAAGATATGGAGATACATGATTTAGCTTGGGAGCATATTCAGCTGGCTAGTGACCGAATGAAGTCCAGATAAGACTTGAAAGCCAATTCAGCCGGATTTCAAGAAAGTGATTTAGTGTGGCTGTATAATCCAGCAAGAAAGAAAGGAGTGTCGCCGAAATTGTCTTCAGCATGGGAAGAACCCTACAGAATAATCAAGAGGATCAATGATTTGGTTTACCAAGTTCAGCTGAACACCAGGAGTAAGATGAAAGTTGTACATCTATATAGATAGATTGACGAAATATCATGGCCGCGAAGGTGATCGGAATGATCAACCTTAAGAGGATGGCAGTGTGGCGCTTTCGCCAACGTGTACAGAATCAAATCTGAAATCTAGAATTTACTGCCTTCTTCAGGAAAAGAGATTATGACGTTTGTTCTGGATTTAACAAGATGGAATACGGATATATAAAGGCCGGTATTAGTTAGTAGTTTTTAAGTTTAAGATTGGCTGTGATACGTTTTAGATAGTGATTATTGTAAGAGTTGTAAAGAGTTTAGTTGTTTGAGTTAATTAGTGAAGTAATTAGTGTCAGAGTGTGTAGTAACATGGAATAAATTATTGTTGTGTTAATCTTTGTTTCCATAGTGATGATCATTTCTTATTGTGAATCAATTAACGATATTTAGGTAGGAACTGATGTGTTGGATAAGTACCTATATAGGTAGTTAATTTCATTTTTGAACTTACACATGTCCCTCGACATATTCATTTGAAATATAGGTTTTTCTTGGAAAACGCTTTCCACTCGAAAGTTAATCAAGATTGTGATGTTGCATGGTTGCTAGTTCATATTTTCCAATTTCTTAGGCATTAAAGGCGCCTCTCAACTATTGAAAATATTATTTTGATTTCTTGTAGGCATAACATTAATATAACAAATTACTCCCATTGTCCTACGGTTGTTTATCTGCATAGGACAAACAAGGATTAGAAGAACCCAGGGATTCATCGAGCCAAGTAGCTTGAATTTTTTCTTAAATACTTGACTTGACTTGAAAACTCAAGGTTTTGAAAATTTGATATTTGACTTGACTTGATTATCGGTCTGAATTACTTGACTTGATATCAAGTAAAATCAAACTACTTGATAGCGATCTGTGAAGCCTTAAAATAGGGGATGCACCGAGGTTAAATAGAGGATTCACCGAGGTTACAGCCAGGCCCGTTCCTGGGGGGTCAAGCGCCTGCGTGCAGGATTTTTTATTCCGCCCTTTATGCAACCCAAATTTCCTAACTTTGTATCAACTTAATAACCATACCCATCACATAGGTACTCCCGAGGGTACTCCTCACGCCTATTTCTATAAACTAAAAATAATTGAAATACATTTTTCGGGTGCCACGCCCAAAAAGAGTATTTTAAAGTGTAAATTCGAGCAGCACTAGAGCAACCTTCGTGCAATTTTTGTGTTTGATTGGGACGACTCGAGTGACCTTCTGTGTTCGATTGGGGAACTGCGTCAATCAGTTTTGAACAGAACAAAGACTAAACTGAAAGTAAATAACTGTCAAATACATATTTTTTTTTCTACCTAACTAGAAAACATCATTTTCGACCCCTAAACAATGGAGCAAAATGGCTCTTTTTGTCCCTTTGTCGCGGTCGAGTGCTAAAAAATTTTTAAAAAAAAGTATTTTTTCAAGAAAAATCAAGTATAGTTAGCTTGAAAAACTTGATTTTCAAGTTTTGATGTGTAACTACTTGACTTGACTTGAATTTCCAAAACAAATACTTGACTTGATCTTGACTTGATATCAAGTCAAGTCAAGTAGCTTGAAAATCAAGTCAAGTCGTGAATCTCTGGAAGAACCTGAATTGATATCAAAATAACTGGACAATGACAAGCTTCATGCAACATGATTCCAATAAAGAAAAAAATTAGATTAGCTGAAGAAGAAAAAAATCAGAATATAGTTTCATCTTTCCATTCCATCATTTACCTAGTTTTTTATAACTCTTCACTATAAACATCAAAAATAGCAGATTTCAGTTCACCAATACTGCAATTTCACTATTAAAAATCACAAATGATTTGGATATTACATTTTTGTGAGGCAACTTCACCCTTCACCTGGTTAGTTTATTGTAGTTCCATTTGTGAATTTCGATGTTTGAATAAATATTCAAATTGATTGACCAAAACTAGAAGGAAAAAATAGCCTGGATCCAGTGGATCCTTACCACTCTCCTTTACTAAACTAAAAATAGGCACTGGGAACTATCTTAGTAAACATAACAATATGATTTGGAAGAAATAACACAGTCTTTTACATTTAGCAAAAGTTATGCCTTATCTATAACCTACTAAAATCTTTGCCCAGCTCTTCACTAAGGCTTCACAGGTCAAAGCTCGGATCAAAATAATCCACTGGAACTTGGGCTACTCAGTTTTGCGGAAAGAAGTAAACATTTTAGTTTTCTTCTGCAAAACTACCCTTTGAGAAGGAAGGTTTAAAATTTGCTAGCAGGAGTTGCTAAAATCCTTGAATTGGAAAGACGGGTAGGTATTTTAGTGGTTATTTGAAGATGATTGAAACTTCATACTGAAAAACTGGAAACTGCTCTAATTCAAAATTGGAGCAGTTCTCATGGTGTCATTTGGCTCAGAAGACTAAAAAAATGAGTAATCAAATAACTAATAACTCTTAACAGAACAGTCCTCCAGCAATAATCAACTCTATTACACCATACTGCCAAGTGTAAAAATATAGCTTACAAAGGTAGGAATTTTGTATTTTGAGCAACATTTTCCTGTAAAGCCGTATGTAAATCTAGGAGTTACAATTTAAATCCTAATCATAAAAATTCACCCCCATAAATAAATCATTGCACCCAAGAGGCAAAAATTATTGACGCCCAAGCACCTCAAAGTATGTTGCCCCATTGCCCTGTTAATATAAATTAACATGCAGCGCATTTTTAATTTAGTAGTAAATCGAGTGTTCCCCGACACGTTCCACTACTGAAAAACCCCGGAAAATAACGAAAAACTTACCGTTTTTTGAAAAACCACTTGCCAGGCTCCCCATAAACTGTTTCACTAGCCACCATTTTTATATGTTTATCGATTTTTGTTTACTTTTGCCGGAAGGCCTTAAATGTTGGAGTATGTTTGGTGGCGCCACCTATCAGAGACACGGCAAAACTCGCAAAATTTGATAATGCAGGAATCTATATTTTAGATGAGAAAATTTATTGAATATGTGATCTAAAGTACTAAATATTCAGTAAGGACCTAAGCCAATTTTAAGCGAATAACCACAATTTTGTGGTTTTAACCGCGGTTACGCTTTGGTTCAAGATGACAGATCACTTGATGACGTCATTCCATTGTATTCGCTTAAACCAAAGGCTTAAACGCGTTTGGTATTAACCGCGGTTACCCCTGTTGTGTTATTGCTATTTGTTTATATTTTGAATTTTGATTTCATGCTGGCCGGAAAATGGAAAAGAGGAGAGAACTTGCGTTTTTATTTGGAAATGTGTTTTTTTTGAAGACAGTGCGGAAATAATTGATTTGTTAGGAAATCTACCAATTTGTTGCATTCTTTTTAAAAAAAGGAAAGACATGAGACCGAAATCAATTGAAACAGATAATACTTGCTATTAAGAGTAAATTAGCTGTTTCTAAAAGCCGGTATTTCAATGTAACCTTAAAATCAAGATTTACCAAAGGTATCCTTAACGTTAAGGTGAACTTGAAATCAGTTCATTCAGGTAACTTAAGATAAGCTTAAGATCCACCTTGAATTTGGGGGAAATTTTATACTTTGATATACGGTGAAACATTCAAAGGGTGAAACTTGTATTAAAGATGACTTAACGTTATTTTAAGGTGACATTGAAATACCGACCCAGTCTCCAGTCTCCAACCTGTTATTGGTAATCCGCACCTTCATGATTTTTGTTTAGGGAAGTATCCATAATTTCTGGCCCTTTTTTTACTTCATAATACCAAACAAACTGCTAAAAAAAATAAACAACTTGCTAAAAACCCGCCAAAAATGCAATGTCAACACTTCAAATAATAACCGCAAAATAAAAAACCACTCCCGAGCTGGGTTAAAACCGCAATTTTGCGGTGATAAGTATGACATTTTATAGCTGATCCATGACGCCACGGAGTCATAATTAACCAAAAGAAAAACCAAAGTCGCATAACTCGCATAAATGTTGTGGTAAATACAAATCCGAAATGGTAAAAACCAATCTCGTTTGGTTATTCGCTTAAAATTGGCTCTAAAGTCCGACCGCTTTCCTGCTAACTTCGGAACGCCCTCAGGTATTTTCTTGAAATGTACAGGTGAGTGGGTATTAAACCGAATCATAGAGAACCGAATAGTACCTTTTGACATTAAATTGACAGCTCTTTGATTGAAGAGAGGCTCTACGCCATCTTGAAAAAGAAAATTCAATTAAAATGGGATAAAGTAAAAGGTACTTGCCTCATTGGAAGGTCTTTTTATGGTCATTGGTTCTTGGTCATTGGTCAGAGCATTTCCCAATTTTGAAAAAATTTCGTTCAGTGGTTTTCATATGAGTATCAATAAAATTGGTCTTTATCTTGTAGAGAACAAGCCATTTTTGGTCTCTTTCTAGTTTCTTTCAATTGCTTTTTTCAGGATCGCGTCGAGCCCCCATCATCAAGCCTTATGCCCGTTTCCACCAACCATTTTAGGGAAGCCCTAACGATAAGTATCCTTAAACTGAGTAAACTGACATTTTACCATGTAAAACTGTCATTTTAAGGAATACTTATCGTTAGGGCTTCCCTAAATTGGTTGGTGGAAACGGCCATAAGTAAATAAGTCAGTTTTTTGTCAAAAGATACTTTTTGGCTCACTATTTACTTGCGAATTTCAAGTAAATACCTGAGTGCGTTCCAAAGTTAGCAGGAGTCAAAGGGGTCGTACTTTATAGGATTCTAGTGTATATTTTGTGTTTTACTTTTATGGTTGTTTTTTTTTTTTTTGGAGGTATTAGCAGGTCTGTTTCTGCAGAAATCACAAACCAATCAGAGCGAATTTCATTGGTTGAAAACAGTCAGAAAGCTAGTTTCAACCAATGAAATTCTCTCTGACTGGTTTGTGATTTCTGCAGAGCCTCATTGGAAGGTCTTTTTATGCTCATTGGTCAGAGCATTTCCCAATTTTGGCAAAATTTCGTTCAGTGGTTTTCATATGAGTATCAATAAAATTGGTCTTTATCTTGTAGAGAACAAGCCATTTTTAGTCTCTTTCTAGTTTCTTTCAATTGCTTTTTTCAAGATGGCGTCGAGCACCAATCTTCAAGCATAAATAAGTAAGTAAATAAGTCAGTTTTTTGTCAAAAGGTACTTTTTATTAGCTCCCTATTTAGTCGTGAATTTCAAGTAAATACCTGAGTGTGTTCCGAAGTTAGCAGGAGTCAAGGGGGTCGTACTTTATAGGGTTCTAGTGTATATTTTGTGTTTTACTTTCATGGTTGTTTTTTTTTTTTTTTTTGGCGGGATTTTAAATTTGCTGTGCCAGTTCCGGTATCGGATTTATTTTACAGGTGGTAACTGTCAAAGTTTTCATCCGGGAGCCATTTTCCGACATCGTTGGCATGTTAGCATGTAACGACCGTTAAATTTTCAAATGGCGTTTGGTGAAATCATTTATTTGGAAACCTTCGCCATAGTGTCAGATTCGTATATTTATTCTGGATTTCATGGCGAAGGTGTGAAAATACTGAAATTCTTTTTTGCGAGATTTGGAACAGGTTTGTCTCGTTTCCAAAGATGGATCATAATGAGCTGAAGTAGAACAGAGAGGAGAAATAAGAAAATTACAAAAAAGAAACCATATCTATCTTGTATGTGATTAACCTACAAAATTGACTGAGAATTAAATAAGAACAGTCCCTGACTAAGGTCCTAACAGTCCTAACAGACTTCAATTAAATTCAATCACATTCACTACTTTCTAGTTGATTATCTAACGATTTCCAAGCAGCGCTTTCACGTCCTAACAACGTCGTCATTGATGTCATGACGTTAAGGCGCGACAACAAATACACGACTATGCCACCCTTATTTTCACGAAAATGGAGAATCATTTCATGGTTGTAACGACGTCGCAGGTCGCGAGGCTTTACCAATTTTCAACTTATATAGGTACATCAGCATACACAACTAGATTTGAAAGTTCGCTAAACGTCGTAGACAAGTCGTAGACCATGACTAACCTAAAAACAAATACAAAACCAAATAAAGGACGTTCTAGGTTTAATATATTGCACCAAATTCGCACTTTTGGTTTATTATTGGTGGTATTTTATTTCCCAACTCATTACGTTAAAAACAAAATGGATAGGTACCTACTTATAATAATATTGGGGGACATGAAATAATAATAGCGCCTGGCCTTGTCAACAATAAAATACGTGAAAAAATTATGATATGCACACAAAACAAAACGGGCTCCTATTTTTTCCATATTTTCCAAAAAAAAAATTTGTAATCTACATAATTTCTTATATATAGTTTCGATGGGTCAAAAACATCTTTGGGCAAGTCCGATTTACACAAAAATAAATGATTTTGTCAACATTTCCTTATTAAGGATTGATTTTTCATTATTTTATTTTTATTAAACGTGCAGCAATGGCGGATGACTAGATAGGACCTTGCGACTTGCAATATATAAAACGGTCGAGTTAATAATCTGCACCTTACCCTAACCTAATGGGTTGTTTTCGTCATGAAAATGGACTTAATTTATATCAACATGATCATAGGCATAGAATAAAATAGCACAAACATATAAACCTAGATTGACTATATAGGTCCCATATGGTAACCTATCGTAACCAGTTCTTTAGGTGCTTCAACCACTTGGAAATGACAGGGTTCTCTTCCAATTTCCCTTCTTGCTCCATTTCCTTCATGTTTGGAATACATTTCTCTCCCCTTTCACTAAATCTAAAAAATCTTTTTCTTCTTTTGTAATATGTGGATGTGTATTTGAAGCTCCTGTTTTGTCCCGTATCATCAAAAATACAAAAGCAAATACTTATTCAAATTGTTAAAAACTTTTTATAGTAACGTCATATCTATCGTTTGTTTATGTTTTTATTTGACTGATGACAGTTTATTAACGAACGACGTAAAAAGTATGAAATGCTACACCAAATTTTACCTGTGTCCAATTTTAACGTTGGCCGGACGTTTTTCTAAGACTTCTATCTGACCTTATGATTGGTCGACGTTTTTAAAACGTTTCAGAGGTCACATGATATGAAGATAACGACGGATTGACGTCTTCAATGCAACGTTGAATTTGCTAGGAATAATATTATTACGTCCATTTTACGATTTTTATCTTACCTTATGATTGGTCGTATTAGACGACGTTTAAAAAACGTTTCAGAGGTCACTAGTATACAAAGAGGACGACGGAATGACGTCATCAATTTAACGTTAAAACTAGTTTTCATTTATTACGTCAAAATTGAGCTAGATAAAGGTCCGATTTCTTGCCAACATATCAAGGACGACGGCACGACGTAATTTATACGAAAAGTTATTGACGGTCACTTATCTGCACTGTATTGTATTTGGTACGTAGTCGCAGGGACATGGATGTGCTACTTGGGGTCTATTTTGTTTGTATTAGGTATCTAAATATTTGCATTCCATTTCCTGCAAACCAATTTCAATAACACAAATCAAATGTTTCAATTCAAATATTATTCTTTAAACACACACAGGCATAGAGTGGATTAAAACGCAAGCCTGTTTGTTAATTTTTGTATACGCTTTTATTATAATTTATTTACAAAATAACTAATAATATATTTATATGCGGGTAGGTATTATTTTACAAAACCAGAAAAACGACAATATTTCCGTTGAACAATGGATTTTGGTTTATACATTACATTTAATTTATTCTAAAATATATTACAAATTGTCCAAATAAATGTTGGGGGAGGGCTATTCCTCATTTATTTCTCTCTCTGCCATTAGAGCGGAATTAAATGTGCCGGTTTTTTATTTAAAATAATATAGTAATTTGACTTTTT